AGAGAGAGAGAGAGTGAGAGAGAGAGAGAGAGAGAGAGAGAGAGGAGGCATCTCTTCTCTTTTTGGTAATAAATATTCATACAATTGATATTTATTATTGAGCTTTCTCAAGACCTAATTCCCTTACCACATTATTGACATTAAAAATCTACAAAACAGCAGAATACGTTTAACCTGTTCAATATTCAATATAATCACTAATTAGCATTAATAAATGTTCATTATTGACCTATTATTGTAGCTATTGTCCAAGCATACTGTACATCCTAATCTAGAGTTATACAGTTTCTCTAACTACTGAAATGTCACGTGTGGCATCTGATCTTCAGATAACGGCTAGCTGAAGGATATAAACAATACGGAAAGACACTGAAAGAAATAATGCATTTAGAGAAGAGAAAATAGCACCAAAATGATATTTGGGGGTTGTGGAAAGAAGCAAAATGTCATAATCGTTGTGCATTATTAGAGCAGCTTTAGTGGAAAAACATTGTGCGTGTCTGTGCATCATGCACATTTTTCATTTTTCTGATATATAAGCAACATTTTTAGGTCAATCAAAATGACCTAAAATGGTCAAATACAAACTAGATTCTTACTTCCGGCAGCTTTTGAAATCTTGATAGACCCCTTTTTCTTTTTTGTATACATATGCAATATTTATTTTCACTTTTTTCGTTTTTTAAAATGTCAAAAATGTCGAGTATTACAGACCGGTTGCTGGTTGTGTTGAATGAATACATTACTAAATAAAATGTAATTAAAAGACCACTTTTGTATCATATAGGATACAAATCAAACAAAACAGATGATACTTTATCACAAGTTTTTGGCTGAAAAATCTGGTGTAGGTGTAAAAAGAAATAATCCTAGTCCACCATAAATGATTTATCTATTGGATTAAATACTAAAAAGCTACCCAAGTAAACCAAGAGCGTTTAGGGTTGAGCTGTGAAACATAAACTGTGTGATACAGTGAGTAAGAAACAGCTGGTCAGTGCTAAAAATGAGAATTAGAATACAGTAACACTGATGATGTGCTGCTGTTTTACCACTGCACTTACATTCGCATCACACAACGGCCCCAAACGTCTAGCGAGGTTCTACATTCAGCGGTCAGTTCACAAAAGACAGTCTGGAGCAGTCCAGAGCAGCAGCGCAGGAAAGCTGGCGTTATCCGGTGAGAATCATCCAAGTGCTGACTAACATCTAAACAGCATTGTCAAAAATCTTAAGAGACTGCATTATACTCTCATCCTGCAAAACAAAAGCAGCAACAGCGGTGTTATTATGCATGTCCGCTTTAGGTTTCGATAAAGATAAAGCAAGCCTTACTTTTTGGCAGCAGTCAATGAATTCATCAATAGTTACTACACCGTCCTGGTTTATGTCCATTTTCTTAGGGGAGAAAAAAAAGGTGATTAAAATGGTTTCTAATGTATCGTAATCTAGCAATGCATATTGAAACTGACTTTTGATAGCGATTTTAATTAATATGTCTGATGCATAACCAGCCTGATCTAATTAAAAATGTGCATAATTAACAGATTTAATTGTTGCTACTTTATGTCTCAGTTTCCAGGAGAAATGTCCACTGGGTGCAGCCAAAATGTATAATGTTCTATTGTTGTTGTTGTTGTTTTTTTAATTACGGCTAATCCTTAATTTGATTTTAAATTACAATTTGAATCCAAAATTACCAAATGAAAGTATTTAAGTAACTCATAATGCAGTTTGAGTGTTTCTTGCCATTGCCTTTGATTGATTAGAGCTAAATGATATTTTATATTAGGTGATTAACAAAATCGTAGCACTGACATGAAAGTATAATAATATATATAAGTGTTATGAGAACATACAATAGGTTTGCATGAGAATCAGTGTGATATTTACGGTGCTAAAAATGAAAATTCTATTCAAACAGTTTTGGTTACCAGTTTTTCCCAATGTTAGAACATTTCTCAGAATATCTTCTGTCATGCTCCACAGAAGAAAGAAAGTCATACAGGTTTGAAATGACAGAAAGTAAATTTTTTGGGGTGAACTTTCCCTTTAACTGTCATGTTAAAAGTCATAGTGCTTCTAGCGCCACCCTGTGGACATTCTCACATGGAAATATTTTCCTTTAATGCACACAGTCACATTTTCCCATTATAATAGTGCATAAAAGCATTACTTGGAAGAACATTCTGACGTGTTGCCTCACTGCCTCTTCTTTCAGTCGTGGATGGATAGATTTCCCCATCAAATCATAAATAGACTTCAATATATCCAACATTTCCTGAAACAAAAAGATCAAATACATTATTTGCATTCAGTACTTTTTGATAGGAATCAAAATTCAAAATGTAGTTCAGTCAAAGACATCATCTTGTAGATTAAAATGCTTTCAGACCTCTTTAGTGATCTGTCCATCGTCGTTGATGTCGTATAGATTGAAGGCCCAGTTCAGCTTCTCTTCAGTAGAGCCTCTCAACAAAACAGAGAGATCACAGACTAACTCCTGCAAAGCCAAAGAATAAGACTTCATACTTCCATCGACACGTATTAAAGCTACTGAACAGACAAAGAACTGACATGATAAAGTGCCTGTGCATTCCTCATCATTAGTTTTATATAGTGTTAAAGGATTCATCATCTATTGCAAAAGTTTGGATCACATTCACATCAGGAAAACATGAAAAGGATAATAAATAATTATATATTTTTCTCATTTATTCCAAAAACAATGAAGTTAAAGATCCTTACCTCAAAGCTAAGAGAGCCGTTCTTATCTTTATCAAATGCATTGAAAAGAAACTGAGCATACTTTGATGAATCTAAAAAAAATAAAAACAATAAATATAATTATATTACCGCAGGTAATAGGTGACGTTTCGGTGACGTGTAAATATATAAACTAACTATTATTCTGATATTTCTGATTATTTTTGTTCGAACTGAACTGGGTAAGACTTTTATGCAGCTCCGTATGACTGCAATCTTCTCCACTTGAAATTGAAATGAGAAAAATTGCTGTCTTTCAATCATTTTAAAACAGTTATTTGGCAAATTGAAGATGACTCGATGACGTGTGATTGTTTTAAGTGTTCTTAGTTTGTTCTTGTTTTGTACATTTGTGATGAAACTGACTATATTGCTTGGACAGTCCAAAACTGTTTTATTATGCATTTAAGTTGTGCTGCTATTAAATTCTCCCATAACAAAATCAGGATTTTGATTTCATTTTTTCCAAGGGCTTAAAACGTTACACTGGTTTCATCCTATTGTAATATAACTTGTTAAAAAAGTCCATTCAGGTTTAAGTCCCCACCAGAATAGAAAAACAGGTACACACACACACACACACACACACCCACACACACACACTCACACACACCCACACACACACACTCACACACACCCACACACACACACTCACACACACCCACACACACACACTCACACACACCCACACACACACACTCACACACACCCACACACACACACTCACACACACCCACACACACACACTCACACACACCCACACACACACACTCACACACACCCACACACACACACTCACACACACCCACACACACACACTCACACACACCCACACACACACACTCACACACACCCACACACACACACTCACACACACCCACACACACACACTCACACACACCCACACACACACACTCACACACACCCACACACACACACTCACACACACCCACACACACACACTCACACACACCCACACACACACACTCACACACACCCACACACACACACTCACACACACCCACACACACACACTCACACACACCCACACACACACACTCACACACACCCACACACACACACTCACACACACCCACACACACACACTCACACACACCCACACACACACACTCACACACACCCACACACACACACTCACACACACCCACACACACACACTCACACACACCCACACACACACACTCACACACACCCACACACACACACTCACACACACCCACACACACACACTCACACACACCCACACACACACACTCACACACACCCACACACACACACTCACACACACCCACACACACACACTCACACACACCCACACACACACACTCACACACACCCACACACACACACTCACACACACCCACACACACACACTCACACACACCCACACACACACACTCACACACACCCACACACACACACTCACACACACCCACACACACACACTCACACACACCCACACACACACACTCACACACACCCACACACACACACTCACACACACCCACACACACACACTCACACACACCCACACACACACACTCACACACACCCACACACACACACTCACACACACCCACACACACACACTCACACACACCCACACACACACACTCACACACACCCACACACACACACTCACACACACCCACACACACACACTCACACACACCCACACACACACACTCACACACACCCACACACACACACTCACACACACCCACACACACACACTCACACACACCCACACACACACACTCACACACACCCACACACACACACTCACACACACCCACACACACACACTCACACACACCCACACACACACACTCACACACACCCACACACACACACTCACACACACCCACACACACACACTCACACACACCCACACACACACACTCACACACACCCACACACACACACTCACACACACCCACACACACACACTCACACACACCCACACACACACACTCACACACACCCACACACACACACTCACACACACCCACACACACACACTCACACACACCCACACACACACACTCACACACACCCACACACACACACTCACACACACCCACACACACACACTCACACACACCCACACACACACACTCACACACACCCACACACACACACTCACACACACCCACACACACACACTCACACACACCCACACACACACACTCACACACACCCACACACACACACTCACACACACCCACACACACACACTCACACACACCCACACACACACACTCACACACACCCACACACACACACTCACACACACCCACACACACACACTCACACACACCCACACACACACACTCACACACACCCACACACACACACTCACACACACCCACACACACACACTCACACACACCCACACACACACACTCACACACACCCACACACACACACTCACACACACCCACACACACACACTCACACACACCCACACACACACACTCACACACACCCACACACACACACTCACACACACCCACACACACACACTCACACACACCCACACACACACACTCACACACACCCACACACACACACTCACACACACCCACACACACACACTCACACACACCCACACACACACACTCACACACACCCACACACACACACTCACACACACGCACTCACGCACACCCACACACACACACACACTCTCACACACACACACACACATACACACACACACTCACTCACTCACACCCACACCCACACACACACACACTCATCACTCACACACACTCATCACTCACACACTCACACACACACACACACACACACTCACTCACTCACACACTCACTCACTCACACACACACACACACGGAAAAAGTTGAAGATAACACAATTATAATCACATGATCTCCTTTAAAATATTCCGTCCTACTTGAACTATTTGCTATTTGTAGGTCAAAATGTTCTTGTTTAAGAGTTGTTTTTGTACGAGGAGATTAATTGGGATACCAGAATGACCCACTTAAAGATCGGTCAAGATGTTACAAGCTGCTGCTAGAACTTAATCAATCCAGCCACCGCTGTCCACTGCTCACATTCACTGCTCCTGCAAATAACTAGAGCGCATCTTAGAGTTGCATTTGTCTAGTTCTGGATTTATGCAGGAAACATCAATTAATTAAAGAAAACACAATTATAAGATTTAATTTAGAATGTGTTATAGACATCCAAATGTTACCTTAGAGAGTTATATTTACCTGATTTGCCTCATTAAAAATTTGATTTGTTCGTATAAATTAATGTTTTTATACCCTAAAGTACAAAAGCCTAAAGGTATCCTATCGTTGTACCATATTTAGCCCTGTGACACACGCACTCTCTCTCTCACACTCTCACACTCTCACACACACACACTCTCACACTCTCTCACACACACACACACACATAATCTCACACACACACTCACACACACACACACCTCTTTAAAACGTTTTTCTGTTCTCTCACTTAGATGTGAACTGTGAAACTCCATATAGAGCTCTTACAGCCTCCCTCGGGTCTTTATTTAAAGCTCTTCTTGTCTCCCTTAGGTGTATTTGACCTTGTTTTTAATTATTTCTTCTTTTTATGACAGATGACCTTTGGTGTCATTCAGACCATTTAGTCAGTATGCAATACAGGTAATACTTTGCCAGTTTTTATATGTATATTTATACAAATAAAATAAATAATAATAATAATTTGGCGATACAATTCCCAGATAGCACACGTACGTCTGCAAGATGTCTGTTAAAGATCTTAACAGTGGTGATATCCTCAACTGTGAAAACGTCAGTGGGTGATATTAGCGCATCCATTTCCTCTGAACTACACCCATAATCTTCAAGGCTGATCACAGAACAAGACGTGATGTTGAAAACAGTCCCAGTGTTTTCATCTACACTTGCATCCTCGGTTGCAGAAGTATATTGCAGTTTTGCTGGGAAAAAACTCACAAAACGTACTTTCTCCCCAATTTTGGTGATATATTCCTTCTCTGTGCCAGAGTACACTGTACGACATTTCTTTTGGCCTTTGAGTTGCATGGCATCTGTCAGCAGGAAGAAAAGAGATTTGAAAGGAAACTCGTCTTGGGAAGTCGACCTGCCCCTGCCATTGTTCTGAACCAACTTCTTGAATTTTTCATGAAATTCAGGAGTAGCTTCAACATAGCTCTGCAGCGCAGCCATGTGCTCCGGTGTACTCCCTGGAATGGCCTTTTTGGATGTTGCGTTTCGCCACATAGTTTTAAAATCAGCATTGTTGTTAAGCTCTGTCTGCAGCAGACCTCCACTTTTTGTGACCATTTGCAGCATCTCTTTCCGACAGTTGTAGAACGAGTAATCAGCAGCTTCAGGAAACAAGCCCATGTGTATCACTTCTTCAGTTATCTGCACCACACTCTGAAAACACAATTAAGAATCACAGCGGAAAATTTGGAGCGAAGAAAATAAGTCAAAGACTTTTGATGAGTACCTTGAGTTAAACAGTTCAAAGTAGTGATGATAAATGTGAGAACTTACAGTGTACAAGAGCAGCAGGAGAAATGCATGGAACCTCAAACTTCCCATCGTATTAGTTGGCGTATGTGCACAGGTCTGGACAAAGACAATAACATGGACAACAGGCTAAAAATAAGGAAATAAGGTTGGTGAATACATGCTCACCAATATATATATATATATTTTTTTCCCAGCACAAACGGAGCACAAGCACATGCAGAAAATTGCATGAAACACAAAAAATCTTGATATCTTAAAAATACCTGTTGTGCATGATGCATTTAATTTTGTTAGAAACATTCGCCCAAAACAAGTGGCTGAAAACTATAACTGAAAAAGGCAGCACTCACCGTCTCAAGATGTCTGTATTTTTAGGGTCAGTTAGGCGAGGAGACAGCAAACGGTCAGAACTGCAGGGTGTTCACAGACTGACAAAAAAAAACATTTACAGGAAAGCTTATCAAGGCTGTGCTCTGCCTCTTCCTTCCTGCATTTCAATCGCTACCGTGATCAGGAATGAACAAAGCCAGACAGCAGAAGAATCTAACAATAGAACATTTTTAAAAAAGAAGAAAAATTAAACATTAAGAACGTAAGGCAAATATTTTTAATGAGGTGGTAGAATTATAATTGTCAGCCATGTGCAGAGATTCATTTAAAATAAAAAAAATCCCATATTGGAGTCAAAACTAGTCAAGAAATGGTTAACAAATTGTCATTTTTTGTGCTATTTGTCCCTAATTTTCATTTCTGTGGTGTCCACAAACAATGACTGACTGTTGTACAACTCAGAAAACGCTTCAGTGACGTCAAGGCTAAAATGTGACGGGTTTAAGAGGCACGTGATTTTTTATGTTGGGTGAGATCTATTGTGGATTATTTATTAAATACAACAAATAATTGCGTGTCTGATCTGTCTCAGGCACTACAACATTACATATTATTTACTTAGTCTTGAAATGAAAAGATCTTAAATTGAACCTTCTTTATTTTTGGAGGGCTGAATTTGGAATTGTTTGTCCTTGAGATGGGTTCACATATTATGTTTAGTATAATTTTTACCCGTGGCTATCAAGCTCAAAAATGCATTATTTAATGACTCATGCACTCAGAGCTTGCATCAGATATCCTAATATTTTCTTTCAAAATTAAAACGTTTCACCACAATAAAAATAGCAATGCATACCGAGAGAAGTAGTAAGACTTACAAGTCATTAATTTTGCAAATAATTTCAACTGCATTTCAAAAATATTTTGATATGAAAATTCAAATATTTTTCAATTAATCTATTAGTTAGTCTGCATTTACACTGCGTAATACACACCAGTTTTGACAAATTATATTTTTCTTTGGTCGATTGCTTATCACTACACTAAGTCAATCACTGCAATTTCAAAAGTGAATCTCGCATTTATTTAAATCCGGCGTTTACAGGTGAGTGAATTCTGACTAACCTGAACGCAGTGGTCGATCAGGGCTGCGTTCAGCCTCGACAAAAACGGTGCAAAACGTTTTTGAAAAGGAAACGGTGGTGCGTTCAACACTCTGTTCTGATGACGCAAGAGTTGCAGCTATGGCAGCTGAGAAGGCCATTCTTTGTGTTCAATTTTGAAGCATTTTTGGAGCCTGAAGGATAATCCACTTCTTACCTCCGGGACTGTGTTATGATCTACATGACCTTATTATTTTTATTGTGAGTATTAGGCTTATCATTATTGCTGATCACTGTTGTTGTGCTATTGTAATATTTACCGTTATATAATCAGAAGGGTATAGAAAAGTTTATGAAAGTGTCACTCCATAATACAATAGCAAAATACATAAATTGGTATAGTATTTTTATGTTACGTTAATCAGTGTCTAGCACACATTCCTAAGGAAAGGATATGGACTATATGGACCACCAAACAAGAGAAAACGCATCTCAAACCCCATTGCACACCGTTTCCAGGCACATGTCGTTCAACCTGGAAACCGTAGCAAAACAGTGCTCACCGGTTTGAGCTTGAACTTGCCCCAGTGTTTGTCTGATTTGTCGTTGTGTTTTCTGACTTGTTGTTGTGCTTTCTGAATTATTTTGTTTTTTAGACTTGCATTTGCGTTTGTAATTTGTTATTTTGTTTTCAGAATTGTGATTTGTTTCGTAGATTCCCACGAGGGGAGGTGCCTAGAGAAGTTTGTGAGTGTGTGTCTAAAACATACAGTCTATGGTCTAAAGTCTAAAGCAGAGTACAGTCAAGCTGAAGACGGTTTTAGGATTTGAAAGCATTCACAAACCAGTGCCGTGATTCAAACCCATCACTAAAACTTACTAGACATTAAGCTATGGAGGAATGTGAGCAGAGCAACAGTCCTACACATGAAGAACAGGTCAAACTGAAGAAAGATCAGAATAATGTGGCGCAATCACGTACGGATTTGGGTTTTTGTTTATACAGTTATGAATGCTGTGATTGTTTCCAAACCTGTGATTGTCCTGGATGCTGTGATTGTTCTGGATGTGATTGTTCTGAATTTTGTGAGCCTGTGTGTTCTGGATTCTGTGCTTGTTTTTCATTCTGCTGCGAATGTCTGGGATCAACTTGTGAGGCAAGTAACATTTAGAAAAACTTTTTTTTTTTAAACATTCCCTAACAAAGGGCCACTTTCTTAATTGCTCTCACGTTGTTTATTACTATAAAATCCTAATGTGTCAAACATGCTTTCATTCGGATTAAGTCACGAGAGATGTGACTAATATACAGATATTACTAATGTTAATACTGCATCTTTCAGTGCCTTTTGGATGCCTGAGTAAATGGATTTCTAGGGACGCCACAGAAGTCAGAAGAGTCTACAGCTCCGGGGGAAAACATCCGATACAAACACACATTGGGACATCTTCATGGAATATCACAATGCAATGATTATTAAACTTCACAAAGATGTTGTTGTTATCTGTACATTTACAAAAATGCAACTGTAAAATACACTCAACCAATGCTGAATTTCTTTTGTGGTAATGTCTGATTATAGCTTTAAATACAGAGTGCCCGAGAGTGAAGAGAAACTAAAATGCATCAGCGTAAAAACAAGTCTCTCGAGATTCTTGAGGGTTTGAAAAATGTCATCAGTTTTGGTTTTGTTTTGAGGAGGTTTCATCTAAACCAGATTTTGTTCTGCTTCAGGCAGAAGGAGAATAGTTAGTGTGATGAAATTAAGCAGAGGTTGTGAAGGTTTGGTCACATTAGACTTAATGCTCTTCACTTCCATTCATGAGATCCTCTGGGCTCCGTAAGATCAGATGAACTCTCACTCAGAACAGATCAACGGTCACAATTTTCTGAATTAATGAATTTGCTAGAATTTTAAGAACAATGCAAGCAACAGTCGGGTGTTTTGTTTACTGTGTACTCAAACAAACTCCTGACGTTTGGATTTTTTTCTTAAGCGTTTTCTTTAGTGCTTAATTATTTTTTTAATCAATTGACATGTAAGGGATAATGCATGGCTAGCTGTGCATTAAACGATTTTAATGCACGAAGTGGAAGTAAGAACCACTTGACATGAAGCATTAAAATAATTTAATGCACTGCTAGCCGTGCATCATCACGCTCATATCATGGTCATTTGCCAGCATTGACAAGTTAAAGCCAGTAACGATGTTATTTAACCGGAATGGTAAAAAGGACGGTTGACCTGCGTCTGCGCGTCTCTCTCTCAATGAAGCAGTGAGTTTAGTTACTTCAAAACCAGCGATTTTACCCCAATATAATGCAGTGATCTAGCATCTTAAGTTATTTTATAAACGTCACGGGGCAGCGCTGATGCGTTTCTGCATGTGTGCAATAATATCCAAACTCTGTGTGTGTGTCTATAGCAACCTATTAATATAGAACAGATTAAACTGACTTGGAACTACCTGTGCATTACACAGTTTTAATGCATACCTGCCAGCCAATCAGAATCAAGAATTGAGACCGACCATGGTATAAATATATATGTGTCCCTGCAGCACAAAAGCAGTGTTAAGTCGCTGGGGGATATTTGTAGCAATAGCCAAAAAAATATTGTATGTGCCAAAATTATCCTTTTTTTTGATGAAAAATTGAGACTGATGATATTAAATGACAAAAAAAAAAACAGAATTTAATCATGTTTTCTAATCTAATTATATAATCACAACCCACTGACAGCTTTTTTTTTTTTTTTAAATAATGTTTCATCCAGTTCCTGTTTACAGTTGTTTTGTCTTCTATATAAAATGTCTACTTTCATACTGTTCCAGCCGTCTTTAATGGCTTGACGATAAAATGAGTTACTGTCAAAGCAACGCATTTCAAATGAATCGTACTGAAAAATGAAAAGTCTCTGCAGTAAAGCACATCAGGTCAGAAGTCAAAGTTAAACGAAGCACGGTAGTCTCTCTCCCATCTCTGGTCTCGCTCTTCTCTCCTCTTAAGTTCTTTAGCGCTGAGCGTCGTTCCTTTCTCCTGTCTCAGTCTTTTCTCTTTATGCATGTGTTGCACTGCCTGAGGATCTCTGGCTTGGAAGTGTGTGACTTTGGGCTGCGGGGGCTCTCCGTATCCCAGGCCCGCCTGATCTCTCTTTAGTATCGTGCTGACTGGGTTTTTGCGGCCCGAGTGGGCGGGGCCCAGACCAGAGGAGGGGTTCCAGCCCAAGCGGAGCATCATTTTATAGCTGGTGCTGGAGGAGGGCAGGCAGTATTGAGGCGTGGCCGGGGGGCGGAGCTTACTGAACTGATGCAGCGTGGATCTGGAGTGTGTTTCAGTGCTGTCCGTGTATTGCACGGCACACACATCACACCACTGAGAACCAGCACTGTGGAAACACACGCAGACACACATCGTCATTCTCAGAGCTGTTCAAATTACACGTATTAGACCAAACAGCATTTTAGTGAGATCTTTTAATATGCCTATTTGACAGGATGCTCCACCTGGGAAGATACACTCAGATCAAAAGCACCGCAATACTGAGAGATGTGGATTGTAATGAAGTAAATAATGATCAGTTTCTTGCACAGGCCGATCGTTTCGCTTCATAAGACCTCAATATAAATCGTATTCATTTTGTGATCCTTCATGTGTTTTTTTTATTCTCAAAGACGAGCAGCCGCTGACTCACCAAGGCCCACGGTTTCAGCTAAAAATCTTTACTGTTCTACTGAAGAAAAAAAAGTCACCTACATCTAGGAACAAAAAAGGCCATTTTCAGCAACTGTTCCTTTAAGAGTCAGGAATGCGTAAGTGTTTGGACATCTGGACACCAAGCGAAGCATAAACCACTAACCTCTGTGCATGATTTGTAGTAGGTATGTTTGGCGTGTCAGAGATCACAAACTGCTCCAGTTCTCTCACTACATCCTGGTGACCAGCCTGCAGGGCCAGATCCCGGGCATCTCTGCCCTGAGAGAGAACCAGAAAGAAAACAGGACGGAGATAAAAAGAAAGGAAATGACTAAACAAGAACAACAACCTAATACAGCAATAGTGTTTCGACAGGACTGTGCGCTTAGGTAACAGGACCGCTTTCCATGAGGCCTATCAGTTGGATAATTATTTCAGTTTAAAGATATAGGACTCATTTAAAGTAATTGTTAAGTATACCAATGATTAGTTCACTACCCTTGTGTTATATGTTCACATTTTCTCTTTCTGACATCCCTTCGCTGGCACAGGCAGGGTTAGTATCGCTAGCCAAAACGGTTACAAAATATTTTTGCCAATAGAAATAAAGCTGAAATAACAAAATATACATATTAGAAATGTTAGAGTTGAGGCACTAAATATATTAATTAGATATAAATAAAAACTAAAACTGAAATGAACCCAAATAGAAATTATATGTAAAACTAGTGACAAAAGCACATGCCAAAAACTATAACAATAATTATATTAGCACAAAACAGACATTTTTAATATTATTATTTTTTAATACACCTTATTATTCATATTCAGTATCTTTTCATACATTATCATCTCCATAGAAAGCCCAGTGGTTTTGATGCAATACTACGAAGGGTGTAAGTTGAGTCTGCAGGATTAATGGTGGTGGGAAGTTACTTTAGTTACTTAACTTCAGTTAAGACTGCATGACCAACAGTACAAGACTTTAACTCAATCAAGCAACCATACTGCCAAAGCAGCAGCCAATGGGAAATCTGCACTGCTCTACTCCCATATAAAGGAGGAGGTGGAGAGATCCTCTCAGACGTGAGTGTTACGCACCTGTTTGTCCACCACTCCCACCCAAGCAGCTCCGTGACGCAGGAGCAACCGAACAGCCTCCGTCTGTCCTGCTTTACTCGCACACATCACACCCGTCCAGTAGAAATCATCGCGGAAGTTGACGTCACAGCCTCGCCGCAGGAGCTCCTTCAGGGCCTGAATGTCTCCCTCCTGAGCGCATCGGAGGAGTCTGTGTCCGTCTCGCTCGGAGCTGCTGACCGCTTCGGCACGAGCAGCTTCTCTTCTTCTTCGTTTGGGTCCTCGTGTCAAAAGATAACGGGCGATCATGACACAGCTGTACAGTTATCATAAACTAATCTCTGAAGGAATGCAAATGCTAAGATTAAAGAAGAATACTCATACTGTATATACTACTACTGTGAGATTTTTAATGAATGTTTTGAAGAGCACACATACTGTATAGATGACAGACTGATGCAACACTATTTAACTGTGTAAATCCATGCAACACCAATTTTAATGCAATTTATTTGTACTTTTAAAACAAATACACCTGTAGCCAAATCTCAAACAGAAAAAGTAGATTTTCACGTCATGATTTCATTGTATGCTTACCAACATTCTTCAAAATATCTTATATTGCGTTCAGCAGAATAGAGAAATTCTTACAGGTTTGATTTCATTTTTAGACGTTCTAACGGTTGTAATGAAGTCACAAGAGCAATGCCTCGGTTTAAGATTTTATTTCCTCATCCTCCCACCCTGCCAAAATGCAAATACATTTACAATTAATTTCAGAATTTCAGGCATGTCATGATGTTTAGTTTTTTGCAGCTGTGCTTTTAAGACATGCATGTAAAATGTTGCTAAACACAGTTAGGACAAATATAAACCCTGGCAACACATCCGTATCTGCTTTAATGTTTTGTATTGTTGTTGGTTTTTAAGGCGAGACACTACAGGCAAAAGAGTTTTTTTTAATGCATCTGGAAACTTTTTGGGGCTTTATGGCTTTTCATCAAGTCATATTCAATATATTTCAAATATAACACACACACTGAAAAAAATGTTCCCTTAGGGCAAGTTATTTATTTTTCATTGGCTCAAGTTAAAAAATATAGATGCGAATCATTACCATAATTTTTTTTTAATTGGATGAATGAAAAAAATGTTTCAGTGCATATCTAATGTTCATATTTAATTTGCATGATTTGTTACATTTTATTCCTGAAAAAAAAAAAAAGGTGAATTTTTTATTTTATTTATTCATTTTTTGGCTGTTGAGCCTGGCTTTCTCCAACATTCGGATTTTTGTTCTAAAAATGTATGCAAATGTGTGCATTTATGTTTATTATGCATTTGCATGTTTAAATATAACATTTCAGAAATCTTGTAATACAAACAGATTTTGCAATTCATGATGTAATAATCAGTCAACTGGGGAAGTACTTCATCTTTTTTTCAGTACACCATTGTTTCAATTGACAATCACTACTGATGTGGACCTGATATTATATCAATTATGAAGTCAAACGTCTCTACATGAATTAACCCTGGCAGTGCTGCTTCCTTTTCCATCACACTCTAATCTATTAGATATTAATATCTGATATTTATTTAGATCAAAATAAATACAGCTGCGCATCACAAAAATAAATTACAGATTAATAGATATTAAAATAGAAAGCAGTTATTTTAAATAGTAAAAATATTTCACAATTTTACTGTATTTCTGATCAAATAAATGCATGCTTGGTGAGCTAAAGAGACTTCTTTACAACACATTACAAATCTACAAAAGCCTAGCCTGGTCTAATCTGGGTTAGTTACTCAAGCTAGCTCTTAAGGCACAGTCTTAACATAATGACTATGTTTATGCAAATATATATATATATATATACAAGTTTCTTCAGTCCTGACCTGCTTTAGAATATCACTGAGAGTAAACTAACCGAGTCAGAGTTAAGAATAAACACACAAATACACAGATCTCTGAGAAGTAAACAGTGTTAGCTTTAGCATCTCACAAAGCAGAGCGATGCAGGCTAAAAACAGCCTTGTAAACTATGTGTAACTACAGCAGATCGGTCTGAAAGGTACACAACGCAAGACATTTTCAATTGAAAATCCGTGTATTTAGGAGCGATACCTGCGAAACCAGTGGATCCGGAAGAAAGACGCAAAGGATTCAATAAAACAGCAGACGTAAACACCGTCTTCTTCTTCGAATTTTATTGGCGGTTACCAACTTAAAGGTGCACTTACCGCCACCTACTGGACTGGAGTGTGGGCAGTACTTTGAGAGAAAGGACAATGAGAGAATAAAAAAAAAAAATCTATACAAATATATATATATATACACCCATCCCCCCCCCCGCCTATATATCTCCATCAAATTCTTTCACTTACCCCAGTATTTTCCGAATAATTCATTAGGAGCCTATGTATTTCCCTAGACATTGCTTCTCTTGCAGATTTCCCACGGTCATGTTTTGTTTTCCAGCGTGTGTTTCTAACTCTCTTCTGTCTTCCTCATACCTTTCACAATCTAATAAAATATGTTTTCCTGTCTCGTGTGTGTTGCAGTGTTGTGTTTCCTCTTCTCTGACCGTTTAGTACCGGGAAATCCTCTCAAAATACAAAATATTACACTAAAAATATAATGGAAATTTCTCAGTAATAAGAGCAATATTACTATTTATAATAGGCTATTTTTGGACCTAGTGAGATTAAGATACATTTTTCAAAACATTAAAATATCTTACCAATCCCAGACTTTTGTTAGACAAGTCTCTTCGTAAGAATAACTCTATATCAAGAACAAATGTGTAAATAAACACACACAGGAATGTCAATATGAGCAATATGCATTTTTATTGAATTTTAGTGTCAAACGCTGGAACTGCAGGTTGACAAAAATATGTTTCTGCTTTGAAAAAGTGTCCCATAAACAAACATAGAAAGACCGAGCGCATGTACAAAAGCCCTGTTGGTTAAATTAGTCCTTTCCTTCCAGTTTACGGTTTCGGAGAGGCTCGCTCCTCCATTCTTTGGCTGCTGAAACACACAAAAGCCCTTCTTGATGTCAAAACTAGCCAGAAGCACTTGTCATTCATTATAGGCATAAATCAGGAATAAGCACCGAGAACCAAACAAGCAGAATCTGCCAGAACCGTGCGGATCCATAAACGTGGGTATGGTTTCTATATGCAACAAGAAGACAAATTTAAAGATGAGCATGCAATAAAATGAAAACCAATAGACGTGACCCCATCAAATGTTGTGTTTCGGCCCAAGAGTTGAATTGCACAGTTTATTTAATACCTTCCGTTAGGTGCTCATATGTTACGCATTGCATGCCAAAAAAAAATAAAAATGCATTGAGAGACCACCGCGAACACTAACTAGTGAACACCTGTGAACATCAACAACTGAAGCTGGAAACATAATGCAATGTTAATCCCTCAACCCAAACTGTATTGCATCGGAAGCTGCTGATTTCTTTCCTTCGCTGCAGCGCTCACGCTGCATGCATAAATTCACAAACAATTAGAAAACAAAGCCTGTCACTGGGAGCAAGTGGAGGGAAACGGGTAAAATCCATGGAATAAGAAAAAAATGTGTTGTGTCTTTGGATGTCAGAATCAGAATCATTTTTATCAAATACTGTCGTCGAAGACACCATTTGAAGCTAAACGCAGATGTTTAAACGCACAGACTATGGATGAAACCTGCTATGATCACTCTACTTTTAAAGCATACATTTGATTTAAACAATAGCTCTACAAAATATTCACATGCAGTTCATAGTGGACATATTGTATTACAGTTACAGCATGAAATTTTACATAACATTTACCCGTTTAATCTCACAATTCTGGCTTTTTCTCGCAAATGCAAGTTAATATATCTCCTAGTTCGGGACTTTATAACTCAACAATTGCGCGTTTGTCAATTCTGAGGGAAAAAAGCCAGAAGTGTGGGATATACACGCATGATTCTGAGCCGAGGGGAAAAAGAGAGCATGACGAGTTGTTTCTTCTTTTATTCTTCTCTAGCCGTAAAGGCTATCTCTCCCGTGTTTTCTGCAACGAGCGCATCCCGAATGTTTACAAACCTATAATTAGCCTATTCCATTTTATTCAATGATAATTCAACATGTAGATCGTGTATTTGTTTTAACACATTATCATCAAGCGTTAATTAATTCAGTAATCTATCAACATAACATTTTTAATGTTGTTATAACTTTATATCAAGGGTTAAACAAAATATAACAATCTAATAACATTTATAAAGTGGAGAGTTCCGGTGCTTGGCTCTGATTGGCTGAGCCGCGTCTGAAGCTGTTGTAAATGACGCTACAAAGTAACACACAGCTTTGTTTACTTCTGTGTGTTGCTCGGCAACCACTTTGTAGCAACCACAACTGTTTCTGAGGAGCTACATTGTTTGGTGGAAGAATACTGTGTTTATTAATATCACTACACTTTATTCGCTCTGTTTTATTTTGTGAAACCTTACTACGTATATGCAATAACCGTTTTATAAAAGCAGTAACCCCCGTGAAGCCTTGGTTTACAGTGAATTTATAACAGCTAAGAGGGTATATATTATAACTCGTGCCTAACAACGCCCCTCAGCTGTTATAAATTCCCTGTAAACCACGGCTTCACGTGGGTTATTGCTTTAATTTAAAAAAATACAGATGTTTTTTGTGTCGCAGTACTGATGGAGAGAGCAGCTTACCTCTTTGATGAGATGTTTGACAGGCCTCTGGCCTCCACCAACTCCCCACACATTATCAAGCCGCATGATCTCCCTCTTCATGGAGAGCAGAACCGACGCTCGGTCCAGCGCAGCTCTGACCGTCAGGAACGAACACATCAGCGGGAAGAGTAGAAGACGAGACAGAAACAAAGCTGCAGCTCATTCCGTCTGCTTTCACACATCAGACAAAACCAACTGCATATTCATTCTAGCAGCCAGCGTACGGCGCACCGTCTCACCACTTCAATACCTTACTGAAAAACCAACCAGCATCATGAAATGTTACTTCTACTAATTCAGGCCAAATTCTACCACTGCTTTGGCAATTGCAATTCCCACTCTGACCCAAATGCGACTCTCGCTGTGACTCCCTGAACTCACATTAAATGATCTGGAGGCGCCTCGTGATTTAACGCATAAGACTGCTGGCGGATATCCAGTCAAAGTCACATCAAGCTCACCTGGCATGGTCACAATCTACTTTGCCTTTGTAGCAGTCGAGGAAGCTCATGGGTATAGCGTGGTCAGCAATGGCTCGTGCAATAAACTGACCGAGCATCTGAAGAGAGGAAAGGATGCATGTAAAATGGAGAATGGTCCATGGTCATTTCCCAGCATTGACAAGTTAAAATTATGATTATTTAGCTCTAGAGTTCAAATCAGACGCAGATGAAGTACTGCGGTAAGATCACATTTATTTGAATGAATTAATTATAACATTTATTTGATTTCATTATCAATTGATCGTGAGATGTGTGTGTGTTTGTGTGCATCAATTAATATAGAACAATGATTAAACTGACTACCTGTGCATTAATCAGAATCAGAATCCAGGACTCAAACAGACCACGACATAAATTCAAATATTTTATATATATATATATATATATATATATATACACACACACTACCAGTCAAGTTTTCGAATGGTAAGATTTTTAATGTTTTTTAAAGTCTCTTCTGCTCACCAAGCATGCATTTATTTGATCAGAAATACAGTAAAAGCAGTAATATTGTGAAATATTTTTACTATTTAAAATAGCTGTGTTCTATGTGAATGTGTGTTAAACTGTAATGTATGTCTGTGATGCGCAGCTGTATTTTCAGCATCATTCCTCCAGTCTTCAGCGTCACATGATCTTCAGAAATCAGTATAATATGCTGTTAATATGTTGATTCTTGCATCATGGACTTCATTAGAGTTTGAGATATTTCTGCTGTACCTGTGGGGCCTCCGGTGTGTCCAGGATCAGGTCTGGCAGCTCTTTCAGCATTTTGTCGAACGCACGAGACATGTCGCTCTCCGAGAGCACCTTTCCAGACAGGTCCGAGAGCAGACGAGACGTGAGCTCCCTGTGGCTGGCCTTGCCTTCCAGAGACAGAGACACAGCCAGAGACGAGAACTCATACTTGTGATGGCCCAAGTTCAGCTCTTTGAGCAGCATCTACCAGACCAAAGAGAGAAAACTGATCAAAAGTTCAACTCTGGAGGACAGCTGGGATGTGAATTCTCCTTTTAAACCTATTAACTTGCATGATTGTTTTCCAGTTGTTATTTTTATCCCCAATTTCTACCTGATAAAACAGAGATGGGCATAACTACAAAATGTAATCATTTCTTTTTCCACTCTAGAAATTATGGACGTCGGTTTTCACCACTGAATAAAAATAAAAAAAGGTCACTGTGCCTTTATATCTCCCAATTCTTTTTTTTATTTTCTTGCAACTGTGGGTTTACATCTTGCAATTCTGACTTTTTTTCTCAGAGATGCGTGATAGAAACTCGTAATTGTGAGAACAAAGTCAGAAATGTGGGATACAATGTTGCAACTGTAAGAAGACAGTCCCTCGGAACTGGACTTTATTTCTCGCAATCGTGAGAATTCCGGAAAAAGTGTCAGAATTGTGAGTTTACACTGTGCCCTTATATCTCCCAATTCTGGCTTCTTTTCTCACAATTTGAGTTTATATCTCGCAATTCTGACCTTTTTCTCAGATTTGCGAGACACAAACTCGCAGCCGCACGGGATAAAAACGCACACCTTTGACTTTTTTCTTGCAACTGCGAGTTTATATCTCAATTCTCACTTTATAACTTACGATCGCGAGTTTGCATATCTTGCAAAAAGTCCGAACTGCAAGATAAAAAAAGTCACAATCACATTTTTGTTTAGTCCGTGTTATAAACGGGAAATCACTGTTAAAATTAGGCTTCCTCTTTTATCCGAGCTCAACCCTGGATCTTAAGATGGTGAATAAAAAACTTGATTTAGATTTGACTCTTAAGCTGTGTTTCTGGTTGAGAAGCACTACTCTAATGGTATACGGTGAATGTTTAGTCTCAGCATCATCTCCTCTACATTACTCTGAGACTAAGGCTCTGTTGCTCATCAGCTGCAGCTCACCTCCACTTCTTTAGTGTCTCCGTGCTCAAAGTACTCCTGCACTATGGGGTTGATGGTCTTCTCGAGCTCCCTCTCGTCCAGCTCTGGCACTACCGTGGCATACACCGTGTCTCCCTGATACACAAACAGAAGTCTCACACTGGGAGAAATGCCTTTACTGTACACGAGGAGAAAATAAGGGGACAACAAGTACATACTAACATCACTGCAACATTCAAACAGCAGGGTTTTCAGAACCACTTCCAGCTCTGACTATCTGAAAACAGCCAGCCGATTCTTAAAGCAACAGTTCACTCATTATTTACTCACCCTCATGCTCAGTCACGATGACATGATGCAGGAATCAATTACTGACATGTCACTATATTTGATTTGGGAGCTGAAAACATGAGCTCTATATATACACACATGCATGTGCATTACATAGCTTTTATACTATGATTTCCTGATTTAATTTGATTTCACGGAAATCAGAGAACTGTTGCAAACACTGACGCTTTTCATTTATAACCCACACATACTACAGGAACAGGAAGCAAGCGCGCACTAAATCCACATTCAAGGGCAAGTGTATCCCATCATGCATCATGTTCTGGAAATAAATCGTGAGACGTTTTGTCGAGATCTCTCGAGATTTCGCGGAAACCTTTCCAGTGCAAGTTAAATAATAATAATTGGATATTTGTGGAAGCTTATTTCTACCACTGAACAAAAATACCAAAAAAGGTGGTAATTGCGACTTTTTATCTCAATTCTTTTCTTTTCTTTTTCTTGCAACTGTGGGTTTACATCTTGCAATGCTGACTATTTTTCTCAGAGATGCGTGATAGAAACTCGTAATTGTGAGAAAAAAGTCAGAAATGTGGGATAAAAAGTTGCAACTGTAAGAAGACATGGACTTTATTTCTCGCAATCGTGAGTTTATATCTCAATTCTGACTTCATAACTCACAAATGTGAGTTTACATAAACATGCCGCCACAAATAGAGTGCAAGTCTGCGGGAAACACTGTTTACCATAAACTGAAGTATACTAGTATTCTTCATGTGACCGCAGGTGTGCTCTTACTTGTGCAGATTCATCATAGTTAGGGTCGTTAGCGTCGAGTTCCTCCACCTCATACACCATCCCCGCTGCTCCCCACACACCTTTACCTCCCGCTCCACCTGCTCACAACAACAACCCGTGAAGACAGACAACGGCAAAACACAGAGAGGAAAGACCTCGAGATAGAAGCATTTATCCAACAGAAGAGGTGACCGTTACATCTGATATGTGACCCTGCAGCACAAAAGCAGTGTTAAGTCGCTGGCGTATATTTGTAGCAATAGCCAACAATACATTTATAGATTTCTCTTTTATGCCAAAAATCATTAGGATATTAAGTAAAGCTCATGTTCCATGAAGATATTTTGTAAGTTTCCTACCATAAATATATAAAAACTTAATGTTTGATTAGTAATATGCATTGCTAAGAATTTCATTTGGACAACTTTAAAGATGATTTTCTCAATATTTAGATTTTTTGCACCCTCAGATTCCAGATTTTCAAATAGTTGTATCTTTCAGCTGATGCACAAATCTCAATTTTGAGAAATTGAGACTTAAGACTGGTTTTGTGCTCCAGGGTCACATATGAGGAATAACTATAGGTAAAAAAAATAGTTTTCATTTGCATAATAATTGTATTAAATATGTTTGAATTGAAAGACATAATAAAGCATAAAAAAAGAAAACATTTTAGGATCATTCTGCAGCAAAACTAACTACATCATGATTCATCACATCACACAAATAACTCGAGTTACTATAAAAATTGGAACATTTGAAAAAAAACACATCTGACCTTTTTTGGGCAGTCCCCGGCCTTTTCCGGTCCGTGACTTTCGGTCATTTACAGCAGTTTTGCCCTTCGGGCTGTGTGGATCGGCAGTCGGCTCTCCTGACACCGAGTCCGAGAGAGATTCGCGGGTGGAGTCACGGGACGATGACTTACGCAGGCGCCGCTTAGCCTTAGCTTTCAGCCGGGCCTCGTGCAGGGCCTTTTCCTGAGGGGTCCAGTTCCCGTTCACCTCCAGCTCATTCAGATCCTCGCTGCTGTAAGATCTGTCCTCCTCATGCTGCTTCTGCTCGAGCGAGAACACACCTGTGCCAGACACAGAGCCAACGGACAGCTGGTTACAGAACGGCCTAAAATCTGATCTTCCTCTGGATTTCCGTCTTGTGTTTCAGTGCAAAAGCAAGAGGCATAACTTGAGAAGCTGACATATGTGACCCTGGAGCACAAAACCTTGGGGTCAATTCTTGGGGTCAATTTCTCGAAATTGAGATTTATGCATTATCTGAAAGCTGAATAAATGATCTTTCCATTGATGTATGGTTTGTTAGGAGAGGACAATATTTGAAAATCTGGAATCTAATGGGAGCAAAAAAATCTAAATATTGAGAAAATCATCTTTAAAGTTGTTCAAATTAAGTTCTTAGCAATGCATATTACTAATCAAAAATTAAGTTTTGATATATTTACGGTAGGACATTTACTAAATATCTTCATGATCTTTACTTAATATCCTAATGATTTTTGGCATAAAAGAGAAATGTATAATTGTGACCCATACAATGTATTGTTGGCTATTGCTACAAATATCCCCCAGCGACTTAACACTGCTTTTGTGCTGCAGGGACACGTTTATTTTTTGCAATGCATGCAATCACATTATGATTCTAAGACTTTCTGCTACGAAACCGTTTCAAATTCCTAATTTATTACGTTGCTTTACACAACAAATGTGCACGGTAAAATAATAAACATAAATATACAAACTAGGCTCCTAAAAAAAAATTTATTCTAGCGCCAAAGATTCTCAATTTAATGTCTGCCATTTAAATGTCAAAAATAAGTTTCACGCATCATATATCCGGCATACGACTTGAACTAAACATTCACGGTCTTGATATTTCACAGACATTTTTAAAATGCATCGTTCAATCTGTTATCAATCAGCTTATGGAGAAATGTTTGTCTTTCCTGCACACCTGCTCAGCTCTCATGTTCACATCTGATGAACCTTGAAAAACAGTGTTCTAGTTCTCAGCCCTAAAAGCATGCAACCATCAAGATATTCAAGCTTTTTCACTCCCTCTTTGAGTCTTTCCAAACCCAGAATATTCATGCACTTAATGCAGCAGTGTGTCCCAATATATTTCAATACTCATCATAAGAAAATCCTATATTTTCTGGGAATATAAATCACGTTTTTTTAACATATGAAATGTGCTTCACTTTCTATTCCAAAGCGAGTTAAATGATGCAACCAACATCAAGCACATTTGGAAGTTATTACTCTTACCTAAAACTACAATTTAAAACTATTAAAAACATTTTTTGTTAACTGAAGTAAAGCTGAAATAAAACAAAAGATAAATATTAGACGATAAGCTTAAACTTTAGACACGAGGAATAGAAATGTTGCACTGGCATCTAAGTGATAGTTAACGCACTAAACTTGCAAACTGGAAATAAACAAAAAAATAGAAACATAAATAGTAACATTAAGTAAACACGGTAACACTTTAAAATAGGGAACACTTGTTTTCCCCTCAATGAATTCCTAATTTGCTGCTTATTAATGATTAGGAAGGTAGTTTTTAAGTTTAGGTATTGGGTAGGATTAGAGATGTAGAATAAGGCATTAATATTATGTGCTTAATTAGTGCTAATAAACTAGTAATATGCATGCCAATAAGCAACTAGTTAAGAGACCCTAAAATAAAGAGTTACCGTAAAAACTAATAAAATGATCAAATTAAAAATACAGGGCTCCACAGTTAGGCAGCTATTCATATAATATCCAATTTGTCTGCATGCAAAACAGAGACACACTTTCAATATACACTGCCGGTCAAAAGTTTGTGATCAGTAAGACTTGTAATGTTTTTTAAAGAAGTGTCTTCTGCTCATCACGGCTGCATTTATTTGATCAAAAATACAGGAAAAAAACTGTAATCTTGCAAAATGTTATTACAATATAAAATAATGGTTTCTATTTTAATATCCTTTGAAATATAATTTATTCCTGTGATGCAGCGCTGAATTTCCATCATCTTTCCTCCAGTCTTCAGTGTCACATGATCTTCAGAAATCAGTCTAATATGCTGATTTTGCATAATATAAAATGCATGTGGTGGAGATGATCTGACGTATCGGCCTTTTATTAAACAAATTAAAACCTCAGCAATCAGAAGAAAGTTATAAAGTAGACATCAAAAATCAATTACTAAGTAATAATTCCTTTATTGTGCATGAGCTATAATACGTTTTTTTCATGCAAGAAATAAATCAATATCTCCTCTAAATATAGAGAGTGTGTTAGACAAGCGTGCAACTGTTTTCTTCCTCCAGAACTCCATGTGGTGACACGTGATCTGTTACTACTATTATTACTATTGCTATTATTACTACTATGAGCGGTATCGTTTTACGTTTATGTGACTACGCATGTAACAAAATCCCATTTACTGTTTGCTGCTAATATGCAGGGGGAAAAACAGCTACATGATCAGAGAATCAGAGGGACTAAATGTATATTTTGCTTAATTCATGCGAGTGCATTTATTTAATGACTCTGGCTACATTTCTTGATATTAAAAAACACAGTGAGCTATGACTGAATGTGAACACGGTCATAAAAATGAGCTCTTGTATCTCTGTGTACGCGTGTAAATGAATTGTGCTCATTTCAATACAAAACATAACGTAAAAAAGGCCAAAAACTGATATGACGACAAAAGTTTAAAAACACCAAGTGACAAAATACCAAAATCTGTAGCTGCGTTGGTCAAAGATTTCTGAAACTTTCCACATTTTAATTTTGACACAATTACTTTTAGTTTTCGATTATTTGTAAAGATATTTTCCAATATGATGATACCAATAATAAAAACAGACATAACCAAGTCGGTCGGTTATATGATTCATACGCTAAAGTCAGATAATCATCAGATAAGGGAAACTCACTGAAGCCAAGATCTGTGTGCAATCAGAAACTCCAGGCAGGCCAATAAACAGTCAACAACAGCATTTTCATGGACTTTGTGCATGAGATTCTTGTGCCGAGCAGCCAAAATATGCAAATTCGTATCTGAATTCAAATATCTTTATTAGGCATGCTCTTGAGTGGTTCAGATCATTTCTTTCTAATAAGACCTTTTCAGTTAATATCAGTCAACTTTACTCCAAATCTGCACCATTGATTTGTGAGGTTCCCCAAGGTTCAATCCTGTTCTTACATGTCTACAGGATATTATTGCTCTCTTTATATATATATATATATATATTAATATGCAGCTGTGTATGCATGTAATATGTTAAAGTCCGAAGCTGATCGATCACTGCGTTTCTGGTTTTCTGTATTTTATATGCATGCACTTGTTTATTTTTCATCATCCCTGTGGAAATTAATATGTTTGTTTGTATGTGTGTGTGTGTGTGTATGTGTGTGTCTCTCTGTCTGTGTGTGTGTGTGTGTGTGTGTGTGTCTCTCTCTCTGTGTGTGTGTGTGTGTGTGTCTCTCTCTCTGT